AATACATATATAAGTTCTTTAATACTTAAATTTGCGTTTTTAATATATAAAAATTTGGAAAAAAATTTCTTTAAATTATTTTAGTCACATGAAAATTTTAAAAGCAGTCGTACTGCTTTTGAATTGCAAACATTGTTGTTATATAACATGCTATATTATATAATAAAAGAATAGAATTTACTACAAATATCACATCGGTATTTTCTTATCTATGATTAATATTAATTTTTCTGTTTTACAAGTAGTTAATCGATAAAGTATTGATAAATAGTTAAATCAATAATTATCTCTTTATTCGCAGATGATATCGTAAACACTTTGTTATAGCTGCGCAGTTTTACGCTTCGTTTACTAAATTTGTCGTCAAGGAAGCAATGTCTTATGAATTTGCATTACATTGAACAAAATAAACCATATCGAATGCCGGACAATGGATTGCTTGTTTTTCTGAACTCTAGTATATTTATCGCCTTTCCTTTTCTAAAATCCAAGTGTATTACAAAACAAGAAATATGAAAACGTGTAGTTAAAAAATAAAAAATACAGATTGAATACGCCGGATATGTGTCATTAATTCTATTGTTATTTGAAATAAATCGAGTTGAACAAGTTTCTATTCTTATTAAATAGTAAGTAGATACAAAATTTCAGTTAAACATTTTTTATTAAACTATTTGAAAAAAATTGTATTTTCCCTTATACAAAACATTTTACATTCCTTTTTAGTGAAAATCTTTGTTTTTTAATCTAGCAGATGCTTAATTTCAGTAGTAATACGCGCAATTAAGTAGACTCAAAATATTAAAGACTTTTTTACAAGTAGATATATTCATTATGTATATGTGTGCTATGTGTTTCTATAGCAATGACTTTAAAATGTAAAGTACTTAAGACTACAGAGGTCGTATTATTAGTGGCATTGTGTTACACTAACGACAATTTACTACCAGGTGTGTACTGATTATCAAATTCACTACTGCGTGATGTTGAAATGATATAAGAGGTAGATGCGATATTTTTTAACGTCTTTTTAACGAGTTGCTATGAATGTGCTGATTTCTTTAAGAGGCGACACGACACAAGAGACAAGCTTAACATGGGCTTTTACGTAAACCGCGCGCTTCGATAACTTTAACTTAATCATAAAAAAGCAATTTACACAATTAAAAAAGCTTTTATATTTTTTACCTACAAAACTATTATTAATAATGAAATTATTTATAAGATCTAGAACTATATACATTATTGAAAACAATTAATTTTATTATCTAATTTGCTTTTTATGTATTGTCTTTTATTACATTGTCTTTTGCAGTATTTGTGCACTGAGAGAAAGGATTTTATTAATTTATCAAGCCATCAGCTTTTAACAAATGATTTGTAGATAGTAACAATTAATTAGTGTTTTGATATTTGTTGAAATTGATGCTAGTCTGTTATTCTAACCAATTATTATAGTAATAGAAGCAATTTATATAAAACCTAACCTACTTTTTTGATAAACTTTTATTTGCTATTAATACTAATTATTTTGATTTATATCATATAAATTGTATTATTTGTTACATTAACAAATAATGAAAAATTATTCACAGTAATAACTCATCGATCCGTTTTCCTACCAAATCACATTTGTCATCCCTTTTTGTTTCCCTATAACAAACTTATTTCTCTCAAGTGTCACACAAATTATGTCAGAGACATAATTAGATAGAATATTTAAAATATATATTCATAAATATATATTATTATTTATTTTTTTGAAATATTATATAAATATTTTATATCAATTTTATATAAAACTTATTCAAAAATATTATTAAAAGATAGATCAAACATAGATCAAACATTTTATATCATATTTATGTTGTATATATAAATATATATTTACTAAAAATATTTATTTATATTTATCATAAATATTATAACTGTAACGTATTTTTTTAAATTAATAACCAGTCATTTTTACAAGTAAGGAATTTCTTATTATGATTTTTTAACTATAATAAACTTTTTTACGTGAGCAAAACAGATTGGTTACATGTGCAATCAGAGATTTTGTCGGAAGAAGATATTCCGTGAACATGACAGATATGTCATATAAACAATGTAGAATGTGACGGATGTCAGTACATAATCGTACATCATCTAGCTTAAAGAGTTAAAATATGATTATAACAAGTCAGATGTAATACATTAAGATAGTGCATTAATTTTAACAAAGCGATATATATATATATATATATATAT